GCCGCGCCTGCTCCTGTACAGGCGGCCGGGCCAGCGCGGCACCCGCCTCCGCGTGTTGGCTGTGACGCAGCCATGCGGGGCGGCTGGCCGCGCCGCTCTGGCCTCCCTCGGCTGGGGGTGGCAACCCCGGCTGACCGCCAGGCGGCAGGGGGGGTGCGCATGTGCGGTGTCCTGCGCCGTTCGGCCACACGGACGCCACTCTGTGCCGTGGTGCTCTGTCGGGGCCTGCGCGCGTGGTGGTCGGGCCGGCCCTCGCACCCTCGCTCTCTCGGTCCCCCCGGCCCGGGTCCCAATTCCGGGGACCGTTTTCGTGTGCCGTTCGCCGCGCGGGCTCTCTCTGGAGCTCTGTTTGCGCCCGGCCGCGGGCCACTCTAGATCGACCCCCTCTGGAGATGTCAGATGCCCTTCGGAACACTGGTGCCATGCTGCGGCGGCCGGGGCGGAGGCTGTGGTGGCGGCGGCGGCGGCGGCGGGGGGGGGGGGGGGGCTCCAGGGCCCGATGCGCGAGCGCGCGCGCGCGCGCGCGGGGTCTCCCCCTGTGGGCCGACGCCGCCGAACGGCGAGTCTCTTAATTTCGGACCACCGGCCCCGGCCTGCCCGCCAACGGGCGAGGGCCATGCAGGCGGCGCAGGCGGGGCCATGCCAGCCGCCCGTGTCGGCCTGGCGGTTTTTGCCAGGACGCCCCCCCGTTGCCGCGCGTGCGGTCATTTCCCCGAACACCGGCTGTTCCCGCCGGTAGGGTGCCACACACACCAAGGGGTCCCCGCCCCTCCCCCCTGGCGGTCTGCATCCCGGCCGAACAGTCGAGGCGAAGTGAGGCATCGAGCGGCGGAGGGCGCATATGGGGACTGGCCTTGCCTCGGTCGATCCCACTTGGTCAATGCGTCCGCGGGCTGCGGGTATGCCCCCGTCTCCCGTCGGCGCCCCCTGCTGCGCCCCGCGGGCGCGCCCGGCCCTTCCCAGCATCGCCCCGCCCCAGCGAGGCCCTTGGCGGGACTTAGGTTCCGTCGGGGGCCGGGCAGACACCGGCGAGTGGGCGGGCGAAAGCGGGGCTGGGGCGACGGCGCGCGCACAAGAGAACACACCGCCCGGCCACCGTGGGCCTGGCCGCCGGGGCCTTTTCTTGTGCTGGGTGGTCTCCCCGGGGAGGGCGCATGCTGGACGAGTGTTCCCGCCCGGGCCCCTGGCCTGGGGATTCCAGCAATTCCGCCCGGCGCCCTGTGCCCCGCGCCCGCGCCCGCGCCCGCGCCCGCGCCCCTTGGGTGCCGCCCGAGCGGAGCCCCGCCGCCCAGCCGCCAACCCCGGGGCGGCCCCCCACCACTTTCTGTCTGTCTCTCTCCCTCTCTCCCTCTCTCTCTCTCTCTCACTCTCTTTCCAGGCGCCCCTGAGAGAGAGGGGGCGCCGAGCGGGGAACAGCCGAAACAGCAACGGGCCTGGGCCAGGCTGGACGGGGTGAAAAAAAGGCTCGATCGCCAACCACGCCTCCCGCCTCCCCTCACCCTCCCCTCACCCTCCACTCACATCACACCCACCCCACCCCCGCGCCTCTCACACCTACCCAGCCGCCCACCCTCCTTTTCCCCACCCCTTCCCCACCGTGTATGTCTTCCCCCCCCTCTCTCTTTCCTCCACTGTCTCTGGCCCGCCCGCCCCCCCCCCCCCTCCCCCCTCTTCGCCCTCCACCCCTTGTCCCCTCCCCCGGGGGGCGCGCCCTCAAGCGAGGGATCTCCCTCTCGCCCCTGCCCTTCCTCCCTTCGCTCTCGGGGCTCACGCTAACATCGCCCCCCCCCCCTCCCCCTTTGACAGAACCATTTCTCGATTTCCCAACATGAACAACACCACTTGGGCTGACTGCGACAGCGAGGGGGACAGCGAGGGCGCCTCCAACGTCCGCTGGATTAGCCGCTTCCTCAACAAGCCCGAGAACGAGTTCCTTTGCGAGGTGGACTTCGACTTCATCAATGATCGTTTCAACCTGACCGGTCTGCACCACGAGGTGCAGAACTACCGCCAGGCGTATGAGGTCCTGCTGGACTCGCCCCTCTCGACCAACCTCTCGCACGACCTCTATCAAAGCATCGACATCTTTGCCGCGCATCTTTACGGCCTGATCCATGCCCGTTTCATCCTGACCTACCGCGGCATGCAGAAGATGGTGCGTCTCCCCGGTCGCCGGTCCGGCCGCGCACCCCCCCCCCCCCCCACTCGTCCCTGTGCCTGGCCGAGCCCGGCGCGGCGCTTTCCCTCCCCCTCTGACCATCCCGTCCCCCTCCCCCCCCCCTCCGCGCGATCCACAGCTCCAGATGTACCAGGAGGGCCGCTTCGGCACCTGCCCGCGCATCCTTTGCGAGAAGGAGCGCGTCCTGCCGATCGGCATCTCGGACCTGCCGAATGCCTACCCCGTCCGGGTGTTCTGCCCCCGCTGTGTGGACATTTACCAGCCGAGCCATGAGAATTTCTCCTCCCTCGACGGTGCCTACTTCGGCTCGACCTTCCCCCACCTGCTGAACCAGCTGATGCCCACCCTGCTGTCCCGCAGCTCCGCCCCTTCAGACACCATTTACCTGCCGCGCATCTTCGGCTTCCGCCTCTACAAGCCGGAGCGCACCTACCCCAGCCTTCGTCGGCTGATGTCCCCGAACCCGCACCTCCTGCCGCCCAACGAGCAGGCGCTCGGCGCCGGTGGTCAGACGGCCGACTCGACCGCCACCGGGTCACAGCAGCAGGCCGGCGAGGCCAAGCAGTAGCGGCAAGCCCTTGTTGTGCTGCACCGCCCTCTCCCCGCATGTACACCCGCGCATGAGACCCGGGCCGGGGGCGGGGGGCACACATGTGTCTGTTTTGAGGACACCATGTTGTGTCCACCTCCGCTCCGGCTGCGCGCCCTCCCATGTCCTTCTGCCCTATTTTCGGCCTCCGCCCCTTCCCCTTCACCCATATTCTCTCTCTCTCTCTCCCCTCTCCCCTCTCCCTCCTGTTCTTGTTTCCCCTTTCCTCCCAGATGAATTCGCACGCACACACGCGCGTGCGTGGGACTCTCCTGTTGCCCCTGCTCGATCCCAGCAAGAGCACCACTCCTCCCCCTCCCTTGTCGCTCCGCTCCTCTGCACCCCCCCCCCTATATATGCATGCCCACGCGCTCCGGCGCCGCGCCTGTGTATGGCGGCGGCGCGTGGTTCTGCTCTCCCCCCCGCTTTCTCTCTCCTCCTCTTCTCCCCGCTCTTCACCCCCCCCCACCCCCGAATAAACCATATACCCCACAGAAAGACAACATTGGAGGGCAACCCGCCCCCCTCTCTCCTTCGGGCGCGTGTCCCGTTTCAGCGTTGGCATGTGCTGCCAATCTGGCCGTGGCCGGGTCTCTTCTCAGCTCTTTTCTCTGGCTGCTTGCCACACGGGGGATCTCTCTCTCTCTCTCTCTCTCTCTCTCTCTCTCTCTCTCTCTCTCTCTTGCTCCCTTCCTCTCCCTGTATGTATGTATGTACGTGGGTACGGGTGTGTGTGTGCGTGTGTGCGAGCAGGCGCATGAGCGCATGGATGGGGATTTCGCCGACCCGGGCCGATCACCGAATGCGGTTGATCCCGCTCGCCATCAGTTCGGGGCCTTCTCCCCGACCGTCTCTCGCCGCCCTCCCTGCTTCCTCTCGCCGCCCGCCTCGCTTCCTCTCGCCGCCCGCATTCCACCCCCTCTCCCTGTCCCTGGCCGAAGGCTCCCCTCCGTGTGCCCCTCCCGATGCTTGCCCGCCAGGCGCTGGTGGCCGGGCCCCGGTGGCTGCCCACATGTCGCCGGGCACTCTCCACGACTCCCGCCCCGGGGGTCCTTCTGCGCGACTACCTTTTCCGGGGCCTCTATGCCCCGGGGGCAGGCTACTTCGAGCAGCATGCCACCATCTTGCAGACATCCCCCGCCGGGGAGGCCGAGCACCCTGCCCCGGTGGCCTCTGGACGGGCTCCGCCATCCGGCCAGCGCCTGGCCTTTGACCAGCTGGCCGGCGAGACCGAGTACAAGCAAGCCGTGGCCCGGCTGTACACGGGGGCCATTGGCAGCGCCGACCAGCCTGGCGATTCACCCCAAGTGTGGCACACCCCGGTGGAGATCTTCAGCGTGCGTGTTTCCCTCCCCCTGTCTCCTTTGTGTGCGGGCGCCTCCACTTACCTGCTCATCATCGGTCTCGCGTCGTCCTTGTCTGTGGGCCTGTCCTCCCCTCCCGCCCCCCCCCCAATACCACCGCGGCGGCCCAGCCCTGGTATGGGCGGGCGCTTGGTCGATACCTTCTCTCACAGCATGGGCGCCGGTTATCCCGGCACGGTGAGCACCCGCTGTCGGTGACCGAGCTTGGTGGAGGTGCGGCGGCCACAGGAACGGGGCATGCCCCCCCGCCCCCCCCCCGCCCCCCCTGGGGCCCCACCGCCCGGATCTAACACTCCCCCCCCTGTCCCTCTCCTGCTGGCTGCGACGATCCAGGCAATGGGACCCTGATGTTGGACATCCTGGATTACATTCAAGCCGAGGCGCCGAGCGTCTACCAGACCATGCAGTACAGCTTGTATGATGTGAGCAGTCGCATGCACGCACTTCAGCGTGCCGCACTGGCTGGCAGCGCGCACGCGCCGCTCCTCGATCGGCGCCCCGGGCCGGCTGCCGGATCTGTGCAGCTACACCATCGCAGCGCACTGGACATTGACCCGAGCCCGGACTTGGGCTTCGTCATTTCGGCCGAGATGCTGGTGCGTGCATCACCCCAAATGCCCTGCTCTTTCGCCTCCTCTCTGGCCCGATGGTTGGATCGCTCAGATCGTCATCTAACCTTTGGCTTCTTTGTCTGCTTTTCTTTTCTTCGGTGTCCTTCACTTTCTCTCTTCTCTCTCTCTCTCTCTCTCGGTCCCGCCCCCCCACCCCCACTCTCATCTACCCAACTGCTTGGTCGCTTCCAGGACAACCTTCCGCATGACCGGGTGGTTTGGTCAGCCCGCGCACCGACCAAGCCCTTCGAGATCCATGTGGCCCCCGGGCCGGAGCCTAATGGCTTGCCACATGCCTTGGCTCGACCCGCGGCCGACCCATGGGTGATCCAGTATCTCACTCTGCACATGGAGTACCGGCGCTTCCTGGACACGATGGCCGCCCACCAAGATGCCAGCATCTGGGCCCGGGTGAAGTCGTGGGTGGGGTCGGTCACCGGCGGCATGGCAGCCTCCACGGTCGCCGGTCCTTCTCTCTCGCCGATGGGGGCCGACCACCTGCCGGTGAGCAACATGCTGGGAGACATCATGTACGGTCTGTATGCGCCGACAGTTTGCCTGCAGCTGATGGATCGCCTGGCCCGGGCCCGGCCGCGACAAAGCCTTCTTTTCACGGACTTCTCCGCACTGCCGGACGCGGTCTCCAGCGAGCCCCTGGCGCCGGTGGTGCAAAGCGTCCTTCGGCCGGACCAATTCCCCGGCTTCCGCCTGTATCCCGGCATCACGGACAGTCTCTATGCCCCGAGTGTCACGGACTGCCAGTCGGCGATGGCGGCCGAAACGCGCGCCCTCAAGACCTACCTCCTGCCCCCGGACCTCCTCCGCCAGTGCGATGTCTTCTTCCCGACGGACTTCCAGTGGCTCGTGTGGCTAGATGCTCGCCTGCGCCGGCGCCACCATCCGGAGCTGTTCGGCCCGGAGGAGGGCACCGGGGCCGGGTCCCATGCTGCTGGCACCGGGCGTGCCCTGTCGCATGGGGACTTCTTCCGGGCCTTTGGCTCGCCAACCGGGACACGCACCCGATCCGGCTTCGATCCCCTGGTGGATGACTACTTCAATGTGGGTTTCCTCCTGACCGGGACTCTCGATGCGGACGCCCCATGAGCATGGGATCCCTTCGCTGCCGTTGTCCCTCCTCCTGTCCCTCTTCCCTATTTTTGTGTTCCCTCTTTCTTTCTCTCTCTCTCTCTCCCTTCCGTTCCCCACAACAGTGGCCAAAGCACACGTGCGGCCGCAAAATGTACCTTCACGGCGATGGGAGGCCTCATATTGTCCCGGCTGTCGTCTCTCCCTCTCTCTCTCTCTCTCTCTCTCACCCCCATGCTACTGGCAGCCGAGCACAGGGGCTGGGGGCTTGCACTTCCGCCTTTGGATGATGAGCGGTCCTGAGCAGAAATCCAGAAGGAGAGGGTCTATTTTTTGGTGTTCGTATATGGGCGAAGAGGGGACACACGTTCGAGAGACGTAGACAAACCCCATCAGCCAGGGGGGAGAGAGAGGGGAGGTGTGGGACTTGCATGCGTGTGCCGACGGGGCAAAGACCCCCAAGGATCGGGCAGCGGACGCAGATCGACCGCAGGACAATGCCCCACAGGGGGAAGCACCGCGGGCAGGAGTCACGGAGCCGAGCTCAGGATGCTCAAGCCGAGGTATCCGGAGAAAGGGTGTGGAACTTGACACGGCCGTCAGAGCCACCACTGACAACGGTGTCCTTGAGCCAGTTGACCGCCAGGCCGACGGCACCCTTGTGCGCCTGGAGCGTGAAAAGGGGAATGGTCGCGCGCATGTCCCAAATGCGGATGGTGCCGTCACGCGAGGCACTGGCCAGCAGGGGGGCCGGACCCAGGGCGGCCAGCTCCGGCGACCACGACACACTGGTCACGGTGCCAGTGTGGCCGGTGAGCGAGCGCTGGCACACGTTGGTGTCTGGTTTCGGGGAAGGCGTGGCAGGGTGTGTGCGCATACAGGCAGGTAAGTAAAGGCGGCAGGAGCCCCGGCAGTGGGCGAAAAAAAAAAAGGCCAGCCAGCACGCACCCTTGATGCGGGGATCCCACAGCTGGATGCTCCGAATGTCCGCATGGCCGGTGGCCACCAGGTTGTGGAAGGGCGAGTGTGAAAGGGTGGAGATCGGGTACGGACTATGCTGTTGGTTGAAACATAGGTCCCATGTGCCCGGGGGGGGGGGGGGGGGGAGGTTGAGGGTGGTGAGTGAGTGCGGCAAACAGCCTGGCTGGGGGGGGGGGAACCCCATGGCAAAAAGCCGAGGGACGAGGCAAGGGGCAACAAGGGGCCAGCCCTCTGGCCGACGGGTCGACCACCAGCACCCGTGGCGTACCATGCGATGGGTGACGGCGTTCATGGCGACATTCCACTCAAGCAGAGACTCATCCCAAGAGCCGGAGTACAGGGACCCCGAGGCCATGTCCATGGCAACATACTGCTCATCATCCTCGACGCCAGTGGAGCCGGTGGTCCAGTGGAGGGCGGTGATGGGCCCGGCGGAGTGGCCACCAGAGAGCTCGATCAGGTGGGGCTATACAGGGAGGGGGCCGCATGGCAGAGGAGTCAGCATGGCAAGCAGGTCCATGGCCGCATCACGCGGGGCAGGGCGACGTGTGCGTGCGTGCGTGCGTGCGTGTGTGCGTGTGTGCGTGCGTGTGTGCGTGTATGTATGTATGTATGTATGTATATCGGCCAATCGACATGCGACGTACCAGATCAACATGCGGGCGGTCGGCCGGGGTGGCCGGGGTCTTGCGCTTCTTCGACGACGGGGCCACCTGGGCCAGGTCGTTGGCGGCCAGCATGTCCCAAATGCGAATGGCGCCGTTCCAATAGCCGGTGGCGATGCGCTGGCCACAGGGGCTGGCAGTGATGGCCTCCACCGAGTGGCCGTCGCCCACCAGGGTCACGCAGGGGGAGAGAGAAACATCCTTAGAGGTGGCCTTCATTTCGCCGGGCCCGAAGGACGTGCGTGCGCGTGCGCGTGTGCGTGCGAAAAAGCGAGACATGAGGAGCAAGAAGAAGAGACAGCAGGGGCTGGAGGTGAGTAGGTGGCAAAGTGCGAAACAAAGGGAGAGGGGGAGGGGGATGGAGAAATGGGCAAGCACCCGGGGTAGGGCGTGGCGGGCCAGGCCCGGCACACCAGGCCCGGGGTTCAAACGCACCGTCAGCGAGGGCAGGCTCCAGACATGGGCATTCTGGTCCTTGGAGGCGGAGGCAACATAGTCCAGGCCGTCGAGCTGGAAGGCAGTGATGGCCTTGATCGAGCGCTTGGGCAGGTGCTCGGAGGTGGTGGAGCTACGGCCAGCGACCTGGCCCTGAGCATTCCACAGACGGAGCTGGCTGTCATAGGACCCGGAGACCGCGTGGCTGCGTTTGCAGGGCGGACCGGGTGGACGGGCAGGCGTGGCAGGAGGGAGCACGAGCCCGAGCAGGAGCGGGGAAGTCAGCATACCGGATGCATGTGTGTCCATGTATATGCGGATGGATGAGCCCCGGCAGTGCGTACGTCAGGGAGGGAGTCGCGACGATCGAGCTGACCCAGTCATCATGGATGTTGTCATCGGGCTGCTCGATGGTCTTCGGCGGGGTGAGGGACTCCACATATTCGATGGTGATGACATTTTCCTATGACACGATGGCGGTTAGAGGGGGCGGACGCAGCGCCAAAGCCGGCGAGCCAAGGCAGGAGGACAAGGGATAAATATAGTGATGTATGTGGAGGGGCGAGTGTGTGTGTGTGTGTGTGTGTGCGTGTGTGCGTGTGTGCGTGTGTGCAGCCTGACACGTACGGACGACTCGTCGTTGGCCTTGATCCACTCGGCAATGCTGGTGCGCAGGAAGTGGCCGTTGATGATGAAGTCATAAGGGCGCGGGGTGGCTGTTGGGCGGGGAGGGACAGGAGAATGGGGCAGGGGGAGTTAGGATGCGGCGCACGCGTCCAGACGGGAGACCAAGTGCGAGGGACATTTGGCCCCCGGGGGGGGGGGGGGGGGGGCAGGTGCAAGGTAATGGCATGCGCACCGTTGGCCAGAAGATGGTTGAGAATCTCCGACAGGCCGTAGCGGCGCAGGGACGCGGGAATGGCGATGGTGGGCAGCGGGACCGCGGCAGCCATGGCCGACGTGGTGGCGGCCACGAACCGGGCCTGAATCTGCTGGCCCTCCTGGGGGGTGTCGGCGCTCATGTTGAGGGACATGGCTACGTCTGCCGGCAGGGGAGCCCGGGCAAGTGGCGTGCAGGGTGGCAGGCACCGGGCATGGGCGGCAGAGTCAGCATGAATGTGCGAGCGAGCGGGCGGGCGGACGCGCGAGTGGACAACCCCAAGTGTGGTTCTCTCTCTCTCTCTCTCTCTGTCAAGGCAAGGCAAGGCCCGGTGTAGCGAGGGAGAGAGACGCACCGAGATCGGGGGTGCCGGGAACTGGAACGCTCTGATGCAGACGAGAGGGAAGGGGCGGCGGGAAAGCAGGGGGGGAGCGGGGCAGGAGCGATTGACGAGGAGGCGGGCAGGGGGCAGGAGGGGGGGGGGGAGTGCATCTGGCTAAGTGGCCGTGGCGGGCAGGGCCTGCTGGGGCGGATCGTCTTGAGTGGTGGCCCCCCCCCCCCCCACCGGCGGGTTGGCCGGGTCACATCCCTCCCTCCTGGCGGGCGATCGTGAACGCCGGCACGATGATTGCCCTGGCGGCG